ATCAGTCTGCATCCTAAGCAGTAGAGGACAGAAAAAAGGAAGAGCCACCAAGTGCATTTTCTTGCTAAATTAGTTTCCTTTAGAGAGGCATCTGTCCTTCACAATCATTCCAATTGCACCGAAGAGGCTAGAAATAAACAAGCAGCAAAGAGGCTTTGGGAAATGTAGATGCTTAATTCTAGGTAGTAATGTGCCTGGGTGAAGAAGTAGGTTTGGGTTAGTAGAGGAGAAACTGCATTAGGAGGTCAAGAGCAATCCACCTGCCTACATTAGAGAGTGTGCCATGAGAATTACAGCTCCTGTGCAGAACAAGGCCCTGATGGGTCTCCACACATACCACATGCCACGTAAATCCTACACTTGTTTTCTGTCCTATAAGATTATGCTGAGAAGAGAGCTGTGTTCGTAATTTCTTTTATAATTGCCAAAATGCACAGAGCAGGGTTCTGAGCCTCGGCGTTACTGACACTTAGAGCAGATAACTCTTGCCGTCCAGGGCTGTCCTGTGCACTGTGCGCTGTTTTTCAGCATCCCTAACCTCCACCCACCAGACGCCTGTGGCTCTCCATCACCAGCTGTGACAACGAAAACTGTCTCCAGCCATTGCCAAATGTCCCCTTGGGAGCAAAATCGCCCCAGGCTGAGAACCACTACCTAAACCTACACTGGACATGAGTCACTACTCTGTATTATCTAGGAGTTGAATGGTAAGAAAGAGCCTTGAGTTCATAGTGCTGAGGTCATTATGGAGAAGAGAGTACAGGACAAAGGTGTAGATTTTCCAAATGGACAAAAATCAATCTTGTGAACTGCACATATGCAAAATTGATTATGTATTACTTTCTTCCTAAATGTAATGCAGTAAAGATGTTCTTTGAGGGAAGACCAAATGTAATGTACAGGTTTCATTCATTCATTCCTTCATCACAAATATTTGTTGAGCAACTAGTATGTCAAACTAGCATATCTTCACTGTGTAGAAGATACCACAGTGAACAAAGAAGACAGAGTGGATGCTGGCAAAGAGCTTACTTTCTGGTGAAGGAGAGACTCCATGGTGTCACGTTTGGGTGTAAATGAAGCATGTAAATGGTGGGGATGATCTGGGGGGGCAAGGCTGAGATGTGAATGAGGGGTGGGGGTGAATGGGGTGTCTCTCTGTGGGGGGAGAAGAGCAACCTCGAAGGGTTGTAGAGTAGGAGGAGATGAAGCTGGAAAGAGCTGGAGAACCAGGGCCAACATTTTGGTCTGAGCAAGATGGAGAGAGAGCAGAAGGTGTAAGGTAACAGACCGCAGCATGATTCAGCGTGTATAATTACAGGGTCTTTCCAGCAGCCCTGTGGAGACTACACGGAGCCAGCAGAGGAAGGTGGAGACACAAGAGAAAGCTCATGGATTGGTCCAGGCAAGAGATGGCGGCACATGGACCATGGACAGGGGTGGGGGCAGTTAGATGGGAGGAAGAGCTCATATTTGCAAATGGTAACCAGCAATGATGAGCATGTGTGGTTTCTGTAACACATTATGTAAAGCTTATCTTTTAAAATATATTTAGAAAATTCTATCATCATTACTTCCGGGTGTTATTTCTTACTCTTCGGTCCCAATATTTGTTCAAAATGGGTTTTGAAGTTGTTCATCTCTGGTAGCACGAGGCAACATTCCAAACTTTGGCACACCTCTACCCCTTTGGTGAGTGATTCCAGGACTGTTACCAAATACGCATGTGCCTGAATTTTCCCATTTGTAAAATGGACTATCACTCACCCTTTACCTCATTAACCTAAGGATTAAGAGGAAAAGACTACGTAGGTTCCACAAATCTCAAATGAAACCAACTGTAATTATCTGCAAATGTATCCAATGGTGATAATACCCAAAGGAGATAGACCGTGATTAATATGTAAGATTCATTCCCAAAGATTCAGACTAAAGATAACCCTTAAACTTCTGTCAGCTTTGTACTATATTCCAAAGTTGCTGGTGGGGTTGGCTATGACTTATTAATGCATTCTTGCTTTTAGGCAAAAAGGAATTGATTTCTTTGCTTGTGAAATGCAGTCTCTCGTGTCAGCCTTGATCATTCGATAACAAGATATGGTTCAACCATGTGCAGTCCCAGCAGGGCGGAGGGTCTTTAATTAGGATACTTAAAAAAAACAGTTGAAATGAAACTTTTCTGTTCAAATTTCTTTTAAGTGTATAAAAAGAATTACTTTTTTAAATGTTTTTTTAAAAATTTATTTCTGAGAGAGACAGAGGGAGAGACTGCATGAGCAGGGAAAGTTAGAGAGAGAGGGAGACACAGAATCTGAAGCAGGCTCCAGGCTCTGAGCTGTCAGTACAGAGCCCGACGCGGGGCTTGAACCCATGAACGGTGAGATCATGACCTGAGCCGAACTCGGACACTTAACCCACTAAGCCACCCAGGCGCTCTAAGAATTACTTTTTTAATGGAATAAGGAGAAAAGGGGTTGCTTATGAGAAATAATTCTGATAATTCGTGTAATACTCAACTAATAGAAAACTGGACAAAATCAGTACCTAGGAAATTTCGTCAGCCTCACGACATCAACTCTCCCTCTTTCTCTCTCTCTCTGTTTATATATACGTATACTTCCCTGCAGTGGTGACATAAACAAATTGCCCAACATTCCAACTAAAGAACTACTGATATAATAGATACCAGAAAATGTCTTCTCAGAACAAATGTTTATGTTATTACATAAAAAGAGGAAAAGTGCCCAAATCAAACATTTCATTTCTGCCCAACATGTAGCAAGTTGGAGCTAAGCAAAGCTTATTTTCACCAGATTACTTCACATTCACCTAAGAATTCTGTTCTTATTTTAAATAATATTCACATGTATTATATGACATAATGCGTGCATGGATGTTGGAAGTTATCATTTTAATAAAGTTCTTGGCTTGAGAATATTATCTACAATCATTTACTATGAGACAGTGTGTTTGAAAGACCTCTCAAAATAATCATGTTCCTCATAAATATGCTATTTTCAGTACGATGTATGGCTCAGACAAAATTTTACTTATAAAGTAAAGGACTGTTTCAATTTTCGGTCTAACAGTAATGTTCGTAAAATAAATCTCATCAAACACTATTATGATTCCCAAAGTTGCCAATACTTTTAGCCAGTGGTAAACTTTATTCATTTATATACTACATATTACAAACACATATATTTTTTTAATTTGCGATATTTTGGGGTTGAGAGGTAAAATGTATGCTATTAAATGTATGAATGACAGCTTTAGAGTGTGTGTGTGCAGGAAGGAATACTCAAAAATAGAAAACACACTTTTGAATTTGAAAAATCAAATTAACCAGCAATTCTAAAAGCTCGGCAGCCAATTCCAATCTGCGTGTGGATATCAGGTCAGGGGTTGTGGGGACAGTTTACCCCAGACGTTCTCCAACGTTCCCACATCAGCTGAGAGTCCTAAAATTTAACTCAGTTCTGACACTATGTACCTGATGTCTGACGGAATCAGATTGCACAGGTTAAGAGCTCAGTCCCAGGAGGCTGCTCCCCACCCCCTCCGCCATGCCCCACCCCCATTTCAATGCCAATCGGCAAGTCCCCTCATCACCTGTGCTTCCCACTGACCTGCTGTATATAGGAGGGTCCAATTGACCCTCTCTCGTTGGCTTCCATTCATTTGCTCTGGCAGCTCACCAGAACACGTGAGAATCAACTTACTAGACCAGTTTACATGTGTTTATTATAAACGGATATTAACTCAGGAACAGGCAGATGGAAGAGATACCCAAAGCCAGCCACAGGGAAATGGCGAGGACATTCCAGGTACATCAGCTCTCCCCAAACCCACATCTGTACATGCTTACCAATCTGGAAGCTCTCTGAACCCCCTCTTTTCTTGTTTCTGTTTTGTTTTGAAATGAAGGCCTCATAACCTAAGCACAATGATTATTAAATCATTCACAGCTGATGACTGATTCAACCTCCAGCCCTCTCCCCCTATCCTGAAAATCAGGGGGTGGGGCTGAAAGTTGCAACCTTCTACTTAGAGTGGGTTCCCCAAGCAATGAGCCCCCATCCTCAGACTTGTTCCAAAAGTCATCTCGTTCACATAAACCCCACCGTGGTGGTCAGGGGTGGTTATGATAACAAGGGGTTGACACTCATTCACCTCCTTGGTTCTGAAGGGATTCTAGAAACTGAGGTCAAGAGACCAAATATAACAAAAGATGTTCCCATGGCTCTTACTGCTCAGAAAAAATTCCAAGGTTTGGGGAGCTGTGAGACAAGAATCAAGGAGGAAGATCAAATATATGGAAATTATTTTTTGGTCATCTGAAACACCGACTATACATTTCTTATAAATCACAGCATTGACAATTCCTGCAAATCAAACTACATACAGAATAACGTTAAGTGTAAGTAGGATGCAAAAAACCTTCTAGTTCCAACCAGAAGATGTTTTCCTCTTAAAATTTGCCTGCATTAAAAAAAAATCACAGGGGCGCCTGGGTGGCTCAGTCGGTTAAGGGTCCGACTTTCGCTTAGGTCATGATCTCGCGGTTCGTGGGTTCGAGCCCCGCGTCGGGCTCTGTGCTGGCTGCCAGCTCAGAGCCTGGAGCCTGTTTCAGTCTGTGACCCTCTCTCTCTGACCCTGCCCTGCTCACACTGTCTCTCTCTCTCTCTCCTAGAAATAAATAAAACATTAAAAAAAAATCACAGAAAAATAAGACGGCATACAGAAGAATCAATATATGTATCTTGATTGAATTGAATTTGCACATGATGAAATGTCACAGGCTAATATGCATACATTGTACCCATGTCAGTTTTCTGCTTCTGATATTGTTCCACAAATATGCAAAGTGTAAGTATTGGTGGAGAATGGGATGAAGAGTACACATACGTTCTCTGCAGCCCTTGCCACTTCCTGTGACTCTATAATTATTCCAAAATTAAAGGTTTTTAAAAACACTGATACAGTCATGGGGGACATACCTTAGAACATTGCTTGTGATTCTGGCACCAGACCAGGGAACCATTGTTCTGCAAAAAGAAAAAGAAATATTGGCTCATTAAATAATTTTCTAACAGATAGCTACATAGTGTGAATTTCATTTTTCAATATTGTCATTAACAAAAGACCCATTTTCGCCCTCCTGACGTTCTCTCTTCCCAAAATAGAAAATGTGTTTCTAATGTAAGTCCAGTTTTGGCCTTGACCCCATGATAGAAACAAAGACCTATAAATTAATCAGGATTTCAAGCTGCCTAAAAGAAAAAGTGTCTGAGCCACGTCTCCTGCTGGCTGCCTGGGAGTCGGATCTCACTAAAAAGCCGCCTTTTCTTGTCACTGTATCACTGTGGACAGGGGATTTACTATCTATGAATCCCACTTCACCCATCTGTAAAACATAACCATATCTCACAAGTGAGGTCACTGGCATAAGGAAATGAAATAATACCCATACACCACTTAGCACGGCCTGATATTCACTGGGTATGGAACAAAGATCAGGACTATGGTGTACTGTCTCTAACAGTCTCTTACTCCACATGACTGACATCTCAGTCATGACTTCTCCTTTGGCTGGGATAGGTTATGTGAGAGTGTGTTAGGCCGGGGTAGTTGGCAGAGGTAGTAAAAGCCATCACCCCATAATTTAGATGCCGTGACTTCCACTTCTTTGAAGTTCACAGTTGGGTATGACACAAAGTAGTCCATTTCCTCTGTCCGAATCTCTAAACTTTGAATTTGACAACACCATATTCTATTCATAGAAGATTAGTATTACATTTGTTGTCAGTTCAGAGAAAAGAAAGTCAATATATCTTTAAAAATCCTTTTATAACAAGTTCATGGAGATATAATTCACATGCAGAAAGTATACTCTTTTAAGGTGTACACACCAGTGGTTTGAATGAAAAAGTATATTCCAAATACTAAAAGGTATATTCACAAGGCTGTGCAAGCATCACCACTATTTTTGGAACATTTTCACCAACCCAGAAAGAAACGTGTATCCATTAGCAGTTACTCCACCATTTCCCTCCCTCTAGCCCCTGGCGACCACTCATCTACTTTCCTTTTCTACGGATTGACTGATTCTGGAAATCGCATGCAAATGGAATTATATAATACGTGGCCTTTTGTGTCTGGATTCTTTCACTGGGCATCATGTTTCCTGTTTTGCTAAACAGACAGTATTCTTGCCGTCTATATGTCACAAAAACCAATACTTCACTCCTTTTTATTGTCTAATCCCATTGTATGGATATACCACGTTTTTCTCTTACGCTCCCAATAATCTGTCTTAATATAGCCTAGGCCCCACAGTGTATGTTCACAATATAGGATTTTGCACTGAGTCAATCTCATTCGTATAGGATCAGAAAGTTTCCTCCACTAGGCTCTGATCATCAGGCTAAACGGCCTCAGCTCCATGTTAAAGCTTTAGCTATTAAATCTACCATATGGCCCTAACTCTCCTCTGCAGCCTTACACCCCCTAAATCCTGACACGTACCTACAATTTCAGCTAACCTGAGGTCAATTTACCCATCTCCCTACTGGCCTCCACACAGCCTCAATGGGCCCTCATCTCTGTGTCTCAATCTTCATTGGCCAGACAGGCAGGACTAAAGCTAGGGAAGAATGTGAACAGCCCAAGATGAGGGTAAGTATGATTTTTGGCAGGGTTTAATCAGAGAAATAATTAGATTGGGTATAGGCCAACACTGGACAAATAGTGGCCATGGTTTAATTATGGGAATAAAGTGTTAGTAGAAACGGTGCAAGAAAGAAGGCATTATGTGCTGATCGAGATTCATCAAAGGGGCCGTTGGCTTGGTGACAAACTAAAAGTTCGCGGGGGGGTCAGGCAGACTCAGGTACGGTCATACACAAACAGAGTGACAGCTGCAAAAAGCAGGGGCCTGACATTGAGAAGCGTCTGACAGCAGTGTCCAGGGCTGTTCTGGAGAGCTTCCCAGGTGAGGACCATCTCAACACCTTGCCGGGGAAGGGCCTCTCCTCCTGGCCCTGTGCAGAGTTGGCTCCTGCTGGGACTTTCAAGGACCGCACCTGTCAGAGCACATCCTGGCCCCAAAGTCAGTTCTCTATGGTCCTTGTCCAGTGATGGAGGCTAGTGGGGTACCTTCTAAAGGGACTCAGGTCTGAAATGAGTGCACTCTGGTCTCAGAGACTGGGCCAAGGCCAGTTTCTGAACTAACACAACTGGTTTACCAGGGTCACAGTCTGAAGACCTTCCCCCTTCTTGCATCAGGTCAGAAGGTCCTGTTCCTTGTGCTGGGAACCTTGACATGACCCAGCTTCTACCTCAGTCCCTCCTAAGTCTTTCTTTTCCTGGACAGATGGGGAGGCCCTCTGGAGGATATAAGGGTGCCTTCACTGATTCTGCATGGGCAGCGCTGCTCTTAAGCCAAGTACCTCATCGTCTCTTCTCTTAGGAGATATGTGTTTAAGTCAGGTCCCCACACTAGCAAGTGGACCAGCTCCTGGTTCTCACAGAGATGGCTTCCATCCAAGGTCACGTGACAGGCACGGGGCTGCAAAGTCAGCATGGCAATTGCTGCCCGCCTCACAGTATTGGCTGACAAAGTATCACCAATGGGGCAATATGCCCTTGACGTGATTATTATCAATGAACATTACTATTATTCCAATGACCACATCTACATAGCAGGCACTTGCTTTGGCGTTTGCCATATTCAGCCCCCACAGGCATCCCACGTAAATGACATAAACTTCATTTACCCAATCTTAAAGTTAAGAAACTGGGATTCAAAGAAGCCAAGTAAAATATCCACAGTCATGAAGCAAATGGTTAAACATAGTTGTGACACCACAATGAGTAAAGGTTCAACTAAACAACGGGTGACTTTTATGGTGGGTTTGAAGGAAATCTCCAGATTCAGAATCTTGGAAGGATGGGAATGAATTGGTTGGGATGGTCCTGAGTATCATACATTCTAGAAGCAGCAGATCACATTGAGGGGTTGAAGCAGAGAATAGGAAGGGTGGTTGGATAAATAGATAGAAAGAAGATTACAGTGGATTTGGACTTATTGCTGGAAATAAAATTGGTTATGCAATAATTGTTGGAGGGTTAAAAAAAAGAAGTAGAGGAATGGACAAGTCATGTACCTGTAACACCTTGACTAGCTTCCTTTTGTTTCCTTTGACTGTAGATAAAATGCCAAACCTCAACAACAAAAGACCAAACATCCAGCTAAGACTGCCTCCAGCTGCCCAGCAAATGCATCCTGCCCTGCCCGGCACCACGCAGAAACCCAACACTCCCCATGGCACTGGCTCAGACACCTGTCAGAAGGACAGAGAAACCAATAGTCACAGAGCCTATCTGCTAAGCTGTTTACATTTAAGGGGGAATTAACATCAGTGCATTTCCTCAACGAAGGCATTTTCATTTTAAGCAAAATTTCCCACTCATCCTAAAATGAAAAGCTGCCATTATACAGAAATATTTGGGGTAAGAGCAAAATCAATCATGAAAGATCATTTTGGTTGTAATAGGTTTTTTGTTACTGAAGACAGTATGTCCTAGAATTTGAGAAGATTAAAAACATAATCCACGTCAAGTATTTAGCAAAACATTTGGCACGGAGTTAGAGGTCAGGGGAAAAAAGTCCATTATGATTGACGTTACTTTGTTTGCCATTATTATTGTTTTCGGGAGTGGGGGAGTAATCCTGTACTCAAAGTCTCCCAGTTCCTCTGTATAACCCAATCCAGTCTTACTAGTGAGGCTCAGAAGAGGCAGCTGGCCATGTTTTTCTCCTTGGATGGTAACAATCTTGCCACATTTCTCAATGTGATGAGTGGTCAACGGTATTCTTTTTGGTTTAATTTCCTTCGGCCATGTGTATTTCCCTTAGAGTGAACAGTCTGTGCATTTTACCATTTCTCTTCTGAATATTTAACCATATCCACGGTAGCACCTATGAGTGCCAATTAGATTGAATAATCACTTGTCTAGGATAGGTGTTGTAAAAAATTTCCAGTGATCATTTGCCTTTTGACTTTATTCATGTTTTCTCCACGCAGAAATTTTCTATACACACACACACACACACACACACACATCTATGTGTCTCTACATTTCCTTTTTGGGTTTTAGGTTTCCTGTTTTTCTTAAAACAATCCCCCCCACGTCAAGGTTTTGCAGCTGTTCTGTGCTTTTGCGTCTATCAATCACCATTTGCCATTCTGTTTATCTCTACAAAGGACGTCTAAAAACCTGCCTAATGGCATCAAGGATATTGGTAAACCCCTGATTTAACTCCAGCTACTGTGTTTCAGCCAGGTGCACATACACCACCATCCACCGATGTTGCTTACCTGTGCTGCTCTTTGAGCAGGAGAGCAATGGAAAAATACAAGAATCCAATACTTTTCAACATCCCGCCCCAGGGGAAGTTCTTAGTCAGATTACAATAGCCTTCACCAGGTAAGCCACTTGACAACAAAAATAAAATACAGTATTTGCGATCAAGTCTTGTTCTGGCTTAAAGCCAGCAAAGATAAAGAGTCAAAGTACATCAGACAAGAAAGGCGTTTGCCTGTTGAATCATTATTGTAACCTCCAGGTAGGATCAGACAGCGGGACTTTGGTAATTATATAAAGATTACATCCTGTATTTTATTGGTTTAACTAGATCAAACATGAATGCTAGTCAATCCAACTTTCAAAGAGTTTATATAAGTTCACTCAACTGCACCCAGACATGATTTCAATGACATTTTCAAAGTCTCTTCTAGCCTTTTGATTTTTTTTTTCTTAAAGAAAAATAAGCCTTCAAAAGCTTCAGGTAAAGAAAACTTCACTCCCTCAAAGACAACCCACAAGGATAAAGATAAATGAAAACTAGCTATCGAGATATAACCATTTGAAAAAAGAAAGGAGAATGAAAACAGGTCCTGCATATTTTCGTTAACATAACCAGGTGTAGGTGTGGAGCGAGGACTAATCAACTTTGTAGTTTCAGAAACACGGCACTAAACCA